CATATTGTTTAGAAAATAAATCACCTTAATCTGCTCATGAACTCCTCGAGAATTCAAAAATTCATGCGGGGAATATAGAATAATATGTATTCCTACATCTGATTGTTCCATTGCTGCTGGTAAAAATGTGGAGCAGCTTCTGTTAACCAAGAGGATTGATGGGAATGACGTTGGCCATATATTATTGCTGATCAGTAGAGACAACAGAATGGTATTACAACCCACTTCAGATTGACCCTGAAAGTGGAAAAACACAATATAAGTTCTCAAAAGATAATCTGCCAGAAGAAATTAACAGTATCTTGTAGAGAAGGAAATATTTTTTGTATGAGAGTTTCTAGTAAAATCCAATAAGCCACAATTTAAACTTCTTGTGAATGGTATTAAATCCACTACCAACCTGAATAGTACATATGATGGATGGATATAAACTTCCTGTGATCCTCTGATGGTCTTGTACATCCCATTATGACTGAAGGTCTTTTGACAAGATAAACCACAGAAGTTTATCCATTGGTCCATCAAATTTCTTTAGAACAGGAACCAAAAAGATAACAAAAGGAGCAGACCTAGAATTGGAGCAAAAATCCATAAACAGAGTGAAAAGAACAGCAAGGAGGTTGAAACTAGGTTGGGCAATTAACGAGGTCAAGACAGAAGCAAGAAAGTGCTCAAGTACCAAATTACTGACTTCTGGGACAAAATAAGAGATGAAACTTTGATGCATCAAAGCATGGGGCTAATCAGGCAAGGATTCGCAACAATAATGCACGACACTCAAGACCAAAATATACTATCTCGGCAAGCAGCGAATCTTAACTTGGTTCGTCGCTACCCGTTTCGCCAACAATGATGGTAGCAGCATGAATCTCCACCAAATAGAGAATGGCGGTTCTGTAATTGGATGCCGGCAGTCTCTGCCTCTGCTTCACAATACTCGCAAACCCATATTTGTAGAACACGCATACAATTCAACCACATTCATACACCTCATAGGCGCTGGAGAATATATAATTGGAAGAAGAGATGAGAAAACGAAAGAAAATGAGTGTACCCAGAAGAAGAGGAAGAGAAAAAAGATGACAGAAAAGGCACACCGCCTTCCTCGTCGTCGACGAGGCGAGGCTTCTCGGTGTCTGGTTTTCCATAGAACTGCCACATTGTAAGCTCAGCTCTACAGTCTTGCTTGCCGTTTGCTCCTTTCAACTATGGTTACTCGGGTAAATTTGGGTCTTTCAGGTGAACGGTAATACCCACTGGATCTACGTTCTAAGCCCACCAAATAGACGATGGCATGGGCTCATGGGTTTTTTAACCTTTGGGACAATGGGCTTGTTATGTGAAAAAGGTACTCCTTTCTCTTTAAAGGTTCATTTATAGTATATTTAAATTGAGAATAATGAAAAAGAGGGGAATAAATTTTTTTATTTGATTATCAAAAAAAATTAGAGGGGATGGGAAGACAAAAGTTCTCTTTACTTTATTTTTTTCTTTTAATTTAACTAATTATTCAAATGAAGAGAGTGAAGGGAAGAATGGAGAAGGGAAGAATGGAGAAGGGAATGGAGAGGAATAGAGGGGACAAATTCTCCTCCCTTCCATTCCCCTCAACCTAAACATAAGATTAGAGTTGTTGTTGACGGTTATTTATTTTTATTTTTTTCCCTATGAATTTTGTTTGTTAAATTTTAAACAACTAGAAGTGAAAACTAGAAATTAAAATCGATGATATTGCTCAACCTAAGAGGCCATAAATTTGTCCCAAATGCATCAAGTATTAATCCCGTTTCTTTATTCGAGTAAACTTTTACAAATTCTTTAAGGGTATATTTAGTTCGAGAGAAATAAAGGAGAAGGAAAGAAAAGGAAGGAATAAATTTTTTAAGTAATTAAATTGTAATATTAGTCAGTATTATAATTTGATTGGTTAAAACAATCCTCTTCCTTTCCCTACATTTTCTCAAACCAAATGCACTCTAAAGGAAAAAGCAAAAGGGGTAATCCCTCTTTGTTTAGAGATAGCTATTTTTCTTGATCCCTGCAAGGATTTTGATCATGGGGGTAGGGTGGGGATAAATATCTCTTTTCAAGGACAAGGGTGAGGTTGAGGATATGAATTATTTTCTCCTTATGAAATTTTCTAAAAAAAATTTCTTTCCTGTGATCGTTGTAGGGGTCCTAGTTTTTTATGAAGTATTAAAAGAATAAAAAAATATTAAATTTAACATGATTTAAATATTTAACTCATAGTTAAAAATATATTCATTACTCATTTTAAATTTTAATTTAATATTAAAATCTAATTATATTAAATCAAACTAAATTCAACATTTTTTTACTTTAATCTAATTATTTAAAATATTTTATTTTAAAATAATAAAATAAAAATAATTAAATTAATTTTCTAATATAAATTGATGTGCGTGAAAAATCACCATGGACCTATTCCCCACGGGAGTAACAGGAATGTTGACAATTCTATCCCATCAAATATCCCCCTAAGAATGCACTCCGCGGCCTAGTGAGAGCAAGTAGCCACCCCCACAACCGTCTGTACTTTGAAACCATTTCCCATGGTGCCTTAATTAAGTAGATTTGTCACTTACCCGGAGCAAACGCAAGACAAGTCTTAACCCCTTTTAAGCCTCAAATTCTCTAGAAAAATAATAGTCTTGGTCATGCCAACTAATCCGAACTCCATTCCAGTCAAGCCTGCACAAGTAGTAGCCTATTTTTGGTAATAGTTGAAATTTCCAAGTTTTCATTGGGTATGGGAGGAAAAATAAGGCCACTTCTCTTCTTTGTTTATCCGCTCGGCTGAAGTCCAAGATTCCAAAACTTAGCATCCAAATAAAATCATTGACTCTTTCAAATTCTGGTTCTCCAACACGGTTTTACATAACATATATTTATCATGCCATTACAAGTTCACAGGAA